AGGATCTCCACGGTGTTGAATCCAGTAACTTTTTTAGATTATTCATACTGGTGGGAGTAACTGAGCTTGTGGAAGCAGAAAGATTGCAAGAAATTGCCAAGTTCAAGGAGATAGGTTTTCAAATATTATTGCACTGATATAGTTCTCCCTATCTCTTTCTGATCTCCCTTTCTTTTCCTAGAAGTATTGTAGCAGTGGACATTTACTTATGAAAGCATTTTTCAGCAACTGCCCTAAAATACAAAAGATTTTCACTGAAATCATTAGGAAAAAAACCAGCAATGACATTTGTAATGGGTTGTGCCAGGACACCTGTTCTGTAAGTTAGCAGGCTTACCGTAAGCAAGAATCAGCCTGAAGTGCCCACATGAAAATTAAACTTGGTTCTGCTAATGCCATGGAAAGCCTACTCTGAGCCCTGGAATCAATTTTGTTATTTCAGTTGTCCATCAAAACTTTTTTTTAATAGCTGTATGCTGTCCTACAGTAATTATGGAGTCACATTTCCTTCTTCCTGTCTTTCTTCTCCCCACCCCACTCTCTCCAGTTAAGGAGCCATTTGTACAACTTGAAGATGATTGGGTTTTGAGAATACTACCAAATTAATCTAAAAATCAATTGAGTTTTACTGTAGTCAGAAAATTGTACATCCTCTTTTGTATCCAAATCCTCAGAGCCTTCAGGGAAAAGGTCTTTGAAGTGAACTGTAAAAAGAATTTTAATGTTTTATGCAGAAAGATCGAATTTTGAGGGGTGAGAAAGAGGAGGAACAAACAAGTACGTTGTGCTTTTTCCAGTTTCTGTGTTGCTAAATGTGTTTAGCAGTACACACACTCTGACTTTCCTTCTCACCTTCGTTTCACCCCATTGATTTCAGTGTATAGTGGCTTATATTCTCCTCAGGTTTGAAGATCTCTGCAAATTCAAAGGAACGCTTCTAACGTTTTTTCTGGCTATGTTTTGGAATGTATAAGTGGATGGTAAAGAATTAAGTGGTGCAGTGACCCAAGCTTGAGTGTACTGAAGGGTTTTGGAATTTCAAAATATGCTTTGCATGTTACTTATAATTTTAGAAGTAATTTTGCTGTTTGTGCAAATGCAAAATTGCTGAAGAATGAAAAAGGAGAAAGTGGTGGTTCTATGTTTAAAAATAAATAAAATGCATAGATATTGCTACTAAAGATGTTCCATGATCTGTTATATAAACAGGATTGACCATTTATTTAATATTTCTGTATAGCATTAATCGCATGGTACAAGGTGTCTGTAGGTGTCTGACAGTCTATGGCCTGCATTTAGATAAATTAATATGTCTTAAGACTGTCAGCTAAGTGCATTTTGTGTGTTCTTAATCAAAACATTCAGTCTGGTATAGATATCATCCATCAGTTCCCTCCATTTTATTTTGGGAAGCTACTATATTGTGAACAGCAGCAGAGATATGAGAGGTTAAGTAGCTCAGTAATCTTTCTTTACCTATGAGTCTACAGATTTTTGTATATTGTAAAGTAATTTTGTGATTTTTTTTTTTTCCAAAATACTATGTGTCTAATGCAACTATGTTATTCTCCACATTGTATATGGTATTCTTCTTGTAAGTGGTTGCTTTATAATAGTATTTAATTCCACACCCTGCTATAAGCTGAGTTCTCGTGTGTTTTGTATTGGTGAGCAAAAGACAAATACCTCAGGTGATGAGAAAGATTGTGTAATGCAGCTTTCACTGAGCCTCCAGACATGCTGAGCAAAAATGTGGAAGTGGCCAAATTGTGCTTCATCGTACTTCCATGCTGACAATGTCCAGGATCGCTGATAGAAGATGTAACTAGAGGTACACTTTTTTGGATAAGCTTGAGCAGGTGGGGTTAGGATTAATTAAGACCGTTCCCAACAGTTTCCTTTTGTCTCATTGTTAATGCTGAATAGTTCTCCTTAGCTCGGACGTGAAGCTGAATGTGTGTATGCATTGCCCATGGCTCTTCCAGCCATGCTCAGGCAATTTGATGGTGGTTCACAGCAGAATGAAGTTAGTGCGTGGCCTCGGAATCCTCTCAACATCTTAGCCACATTTTCACTGTTTTGCATGTTTGTGCCATTTCTTTTTTTTTCTGCAAATCAACAAGCGTCTTTTCTTTAGTCTGCAGGTACTACCATAGTGTTGCTAATATGGACCACTTGAATTCTGACACAGTGTGAACACTGTAGATGTGTAGGTGTATCTATGTATCAATATAAAATACAGCCCAGCTGTCCTGTACGAACAAAAGCATTGTGAGGCAGAGAGTCCTGCTGATAAATCCCGAGTTCTTTAGAAAAGTTGGCTTCTTTTTTTCCGTTGTGTGATGTTTCTGATAACTGTCCTGTGTCTAAATACTTTCATGCTCAGCCAGTAATGCTACAGCTTTCATTTTAGGTTGTTTGTATTTAAAGAATTTCCAAATTTTGACTTCTCTTAAATAGACTGGGAAAAAATAGGCATTTTTGTAGTTTCTGTATGAAGAGGTTTTTATTTTATGTTCTACTAGTTGTTTGTTTTTCTTCTACAGTGCTTCATTACCTGTCATTCCTTGAAGTACAGGTGACGATAAACTAACTCACTCTCCATGTTAATGGGAGTTGAGAATGCTTTGCTTCTCTCAGGATTGTAGCCGTATTACCAGGACAATGTATTGATTTGGTTGACTGCTGATGTGTGATGCATGACAGAAATGAGAAATTGAACTTTCTGAATGTGAAGTAAATCATGGTGCTGATGATATATAAATTATTTAGGAAAAAGCAATCCATCAGATACTTTGTGCTGGTAGCAGTGCTACATACACTTGACTATGTAGTAAAACAACAGTTCTTTTACAATCTCAGATAGGTGATGTGCTGTGCTAAACTCAAATTCTTGCAAAAATGACTTGCAGCATTGTTGGTTTTAGTATGCATTACTTTCTACATTACTGACATGTGATCTGATAATTTAGAAATACTGAGCTGATATTCTTTAATTCTGGCTTTTTCTCGTCAAGAGCTGCAGATTATTCTTTCTAGACTGCTTATTACTATTTTAAATTGGTTGGTTTTAAATAATTTTAACTTGTAAGTAGAGATGTTTTGAGTCCCAAATACCCACAGATGGAGTTTATTGTAGCCACAGGTAATTGGACTTTAATATCTGTAAAACATCCACTAGAGACATGAATAGGCCCACTCTTTCTTCTGGCAGGTGTTTTGCAGATATTAGACTTACATCCAATTATCTTTGGGTACTTTAGCAGTACACAATAGCATTCATGTGCAGACGACTATAATATTCTTTTCTCCTCTTCTCGATGTTATGAAATGAATGGGATAACTTATCCTTCCTGGAAAGAGAGAGAAGTGTTTTAATGAAAGCTTGAAGAGACTTCCTGAAATTCTTCTTATCGATATACACCAACAAGTCTTGTCATTCAGTGTCACAGTCTCAGCATAGCATTTCTCCAGTGTAAGTACCTCAAGCAGCAGGGAGTTCTGCACAGTCTCCCCAAAGCAGCCCCGAGCTACGTATTTTGGAATCTTTGGTTTAAACATTTGTGTGAGATTTTCGAAGGCATCCAGCTCTTCTCAAGAAGTAGTTGTTAATATTTGTTTAGTGTGAAGGCTGTGAGAATAAAGGGAGAAGCTTAACCACACTTTTCTGGTAGAAGGGGAACGCTGGAGCATTTGGAAGTCTGCTGGAACATAAATCCTGGAGTTCTCTTGTGAGAGCTCTGGTATGGTTAGACAGTTCAAGACCCACCCGTCTGTAGGCAGTTGGGCAGCACTAACACATGTTCTAAAAAATAAAATAAAATAGTCATTTGGGCTTCTTATAAACACATTTTATCTTACATTAAAAAGTTTTTTTTCTTGCTGTAACTTATTTTAGCATTTATTTTGTCAGAAAGAAAAATAAAAGATTGATTTATTAGAAAGCATATAATGTTCCACATTGCAGAGCTTTTTTCCCCTTAACTGTTGAAGCTTATTTAGAAGAGACAAGCCTCTTTTTTCTTTGGTTGATGTCATCAGCTAGAGCTAGTGAACTTTTGGGTAAATTGAAAGATTAAGGAAGAAGTCGTTTTACGAAAATTTAAAAAAATTATTCTCTCATCAGTTTTGCTGTCAATATCAGCAACTTTGAAAATAGAGCAGGTTCCATCTTGAATTGTTGATGTTGATGAGCCGTTCAAAATCTGTCCTGAATGAATGAGATGGCTCTGATTCCTGAGATTATTTTCCATTTATTGCCCCCAAACTACTTTAGGTTTGCTACTAGCCCCATGAAAAACAGAATGAAATATTCATGTGTACAAAAAACTGGAATTGCTATCAATGTGCTATAAGGATGTAGCTACCAAAATACTTGCTCTGTGTTGAATATATTTTTATGGTTGTTTCAGTATTTTTACAGGTTATTGCGTTCATATCTTCAAATGCACTCTGGCTACTGCTGTACACCTTGATTATACTTGGATTATTAAAAATTAATGATGCATGGAAAGTTTTATAGTTTCTAGGTTATCACAAAATGCATAATCTGCATTATTCCTTGAAATGAAATGCTATTTGAGCACTCTAAAATGGTGTTTAGTATATAAGTTTGTCTTTAGTATGTGGGTGAGAAGTTAAAATCAAGGTCATATATATATAATTTTATTACGTCAGTTTCCCAAAAAAACATAGTGTTTATTCTGTCTCTGAGTTGTTCTTTTTATTTACAATTTTCAACAACAAAAACCTTTAAAAGGCTACAAACCTTCATGAATATCTTATTTCCTGGTTTTGTAGTAGATTTATTTCTGATGTCTACTGATCAGGTCTGTATACCAACTCTGGAGTATGCAAGTTAGCTTAGCTGCTATTTTGCAAACCCAGATTCATATCTCATGCATGTGTTTTATGACTGTGTGAACATGTGCTGTCTTCTGGGTGGTGGGATTTTTTGGTTTCGTTGGGTTTTTGTGGATGATTTTTTGCTATCCGGAGTGATGGCTGTTGCATCTGCTACAATTGCTTCTTACAAGGGCCTCACTGAATGTGGCTGTCACCTATTGCATTCAAGCTGTTTTCAGAAACAGAATGATGCTGGTTTTACAAGTAAAATCTAGGGTTTGAACTAGAGTTTGTCCTTTTCGTCCATAGTCAGATTATAAACTACATAGCATACAGAGCAAATACCATGAGAAATCTCTATGCTGAGCTTCTCTCTTACCTGCATTACTCTCACTGTCCTCTTTACTGTGCTGATCATGTTGCACAAGACAAAAGCATTTCCTCTAGGCATCTCTTGGTGACCTGGTCATGTTTTACCAGTGCTGGTGTTTCAGCCCAGAGGCTGAAATTACGGCAAACCCACACTGTTTTATCCAGCCTTGGGATCAGAAGTTACCTTAGGCTGAATGTACAGTTACTGTTTGTATATGGGATGTGTGTAGTCTTAGGATTTTTTGTAAGATTTGCTGTATTAATACATTGATACATCTTTAAAAAAATCGAAACAATAAAATACAATTATGATTGCCATCTGAAATTATATTTAGAATTACCTGTGTCTGCCTGTATGTTTATATATATATTATGTTAAGTATGGTTAGTTTTAGAAATATATTTGAAGTTGTTTTCTGAGTTAATTCTCTGTGATGTCAGAAAAGATGTGTATCTTAACTTTACTTCTGTTTTTATAGATGGCTATACAACAGATGACATTGAATTTTACTGGCGTGGGGGTGATAATGCAGTCACAGGAGTGACGAAGATTGAACTGCCGCAGTTCTCCATTGTAGACTACAAGCTTATCACCAAGAATGTTGTTTTCTCTACAGGTTTGTGGAGGGGAAGCTGAACAGGAAATTCACTGGCAAGAAATGGGTTCATTTTCACCACTTTTAAAAATGGCTTAATTTTCAATGTGCAGTTCAGGATCTGAGCACAAATTTTAGAAACAGGAATAAATTAGAATTTTAAATTTAATGAAAATTGTGGATTTTGAAAGGAGCATTTTTTATTACAGCTTTCACAGTGTATAAGACATCATTCATTAACATATGAAGAGGATACAGTAGTCTGTCATGTTAAGGCTCAGTCAAATAAGCTGTATTTTCTGTTTTCCTATGAAAACTGATTAAGCCACTTACACACCTTGGCACCCTAAACCAAACAAGAAGTAACATAGCCTGTAGAAAATTTTAGATCCTTTCTCTCGCTGTTTCTAGGTGTTCCTTGTGCCAAGCTGTGGATGTATTAGACTAATTATTTTGTCTTCGCTGTAAAACCTTTAAAATACTTGTTCTACAGGATTTGTAGTTTAGCCTATGCTAGCAAGCATATGACTTTCTGAAGGCTGTAAAGATGCTTTGTGAGGAGAAGGAGAAGGAGGAGGAGAAAATAAGATTTGATTTCATAAAATAAAAAAAAAAACAAAACAAGAAACCACTACAACATTTCAATGACATATTAAATCATTCAAGAGAGACAAGAGTTGGGTTGAGCTACCTACTTGAGAAAGCTGCAGAGTGTGTTAAAAGAAAAAAATCTTCAAAACTCGTATTCTACATATGGATGGACATAATCTTTGGAGGGAGTATAGAAGGTTTGTGCATCCCAAATTCTTCAAAACCAAGCAGAAGTGGGACTTGCATAGTGATCTCTAGGCAGCCATTTTAACAAGTGCTGCATACACCAAAATATTTCTGGTGGCCAGAGACAAAGAGCAAGTGTTGCAGTGCTTGGAGAAGGTTAGAATAAGGGTTACTCTGAAGTAGGCACACCACAGCTTGTCAGGGAAGAAGCATTTCTGTGCTTTGATGTTCTGAAATGTATTTTGGCCGTTGATTGTTGAATATTATGATTACCAGCAGATATGCACCCAGAGCATCCTTGTACCCTTAGAATAAAAGATTAGTTAATCCCAGTTCTTGTTAGAAATTGTGCAGCTGATTATCCTGGATCTTTCAACTGTGTGTACTCTATGTTGCATGAAACAATAAAACCAAAATGACGGGAAAATGTTTTAAGGCTTTATACAAGTAAATTATGGCCATACCAAATATTCTTTTTTAGGTGCCTACCCAAGGCTGTCTCTCAGCTTTAAACTTAAGCGAAACATTGGTTACTTCATTCTGCAGACCTACATGCCTTCTATTCTGATCACTATCCTGTCCTGGGTATCCTTCTGGATTAATTATGACGCTTCAGCTGCAAGAGTTGCTTTAGGTAGGCATTTTTACACATCTCATGCAGTGTGCATTAGCTGAATGCTTTTTCTTGCTTCTGGCTTAGTAGATAGGGCATGATTCGTAAAATAAATCTGTTAGATCTCTTTATGTCTGGCTTGTTAAGCTTTATGTTATTTGAATCAGCATTTAAATCATCACAATTTAAATAAAAATTAAAGTGATTTCATGTCTGAATTAGCTAACTGTATAATCATTGTAACCAGAATTAGCCTAATTGTCTCCACATTTTCTGTTGTTTTACTGCTTGTTTTTTCTCTAAAGAGAATGCATTTAGTTTGTTTTTGCCCATGGCAGTCCAGAATACACATTCAGCACTGTGTTATGGATTGTAAATTGCTTTTCTTTGCAGGTATGAATTAAATAAAGTTTTACTGGGGTTGTATAGCTAACTTCTCCTTAAGTTGAGGGCTTTTTTCCTTGCTGTTACCTTACATTCTAAAAGCAAAACCATTTCCCTAATTAATCTCTAGAGTACTCTTATATCTCATTACTAATCCTATGTGTGTTTGTTTATACTGTGCCCCTCATCAGAGGATCCAAGCATGTTACAAAAATAAATATAAGTATCTATTGCCAGACTGATTCCTGCCAGTACAGCTCTGATATAAATAAAATAAGTAAATCACCATGAAAGATACAGTTGAGAATAGATATTTTAACTTTATAGAATGCTATCTGAGTTTTACCAGGCCTTTCTGTGTAGCGTTTTCCCATAAGAATTCAAGACTGCAGACATCCTGAAAATGCTGGAGGAAAGCAAGATAACAGTGACTCTAGGCTGGTAGTTTATAACGGAAATTTGTTAGAGAAAGTTACAGTTTAGCTGGTTAAAAACATACTCATAGAATCTAACTACTGTTTGGTTGAACACAATTTATTACAGTTGTAATTTTCTTTGCTGTACAAAACATTAAAGACACGGATAAGATATATGGACAGAGGTTGGGACAGAGGTTGTCTCCACCAGGGGGGGAAAAAAAAAATCCTTTTTCAGCTTTAGCATTTGAATATTATTAGCTATTATGCTAGAAAATTAATTAATTCAATCAATAGACTTGACAATTCTTTTTTCCAGGAATCACAACTGTGCTCACAATGACAACAATTAACACCCATCTTCGAGAGACTCTTCCCAAAATTCCATATGTGAAAGCCATTGACATGTACCTTATGGGATGTTTTGTCTTCGTTTTCATGGCTCTTCTGGAGTATGCATTGGTCAACTACATCTTCTTTGGCAGGGGACCTCAGCGTCAAAAGAAAGCGGCAGAAAAAGCCGCTAGTGCCAACAATGAGAAGTTGCGAATGGATGTCAATAAGGTAAATTGAAATGGGGATATATTTTTAGCATTGCCGCAGGAAGGCAGACTTCCACTTCTGCCAGACAGAGCTTTAAAATGTAATTTCTTGTAGAAAATGAGTGGAGTGGGATTATTATGATCTTGTCTTAGCTCTGCAGAGCAGCATGCTTAGCCACCTCAGCAATGAATGCTGCCCTCTAGCCTGGAAAACTGAATGACTTTTTTCTAAAGCGTGCATTCAGTTAAGCTTTACTGTGAGATGTTTTCTCAGTCAGGATGTAGAGTTAAATGTGTCTAATCTGTTTCCAAAGGAATAAATCCAAAATGATGGCTATAGCTGATATTCTAGCAAGAGCTGTATGGAACATTGGAAATAAAACCTAAATTTAACCTACTTTCATAAATCTTTCAGATGACCTGGATAAGAAATATTTGCTACAGAAGTTTTTAAAGCTTGAAAAGTTTGCATATTTTCAACATATAATGGCCCAGGATACTGTTGACTAAATGAGAAACCGCTCAGAAATAAATCATCAACTTGCTGTGCACTTCATTTTGAATCTAAAAATGGTCCCCTGGGGATGGAGAATTGAGGCAGAAAATACATTTGCCAAGATACACACTTTTAGAAAAAATATCCATTATGCTTAATGAAAATGGAGCACTTATCATAAAGCACTTGTCATTCTTCACTTTGACCATTTTGGATGCATTTCACATAGTGGCGAATCGGGCTGAATGTTAAAACATACTCGGTGTGAAATGTATAAACTTTCACACACATGCAAAATTGGAAAGTTAAATAAAGTTAAAATATCAGTTTGGTTTTCTTTTCTTTTGGCAAGGGAAGCATTTTGGCTTTGTGATTCAGCATGATACTCCAAGGGGAAAAAAATCAAAATCTGAATTAAAAAAAAATCTAAATCAGAAAAAACCCCAAGTGATTATTTGTGAAGTAGAAACATATGTTTCATACAGCTCTAGTGGTGGAATTTCTCATGTTTGTTCAGAACTTCTACACTACCATAGCATGTCTGCAGACAGAAGAACATTTCGTTCCATCTTCGCTGGAATAACAAAAATCCATCACAAGTTGATAGTATAAACCAATTTTATACTTTATAGTCTGTTAAGATGGAGGATTATATTGTCATGGCTCAGACCTCACCCATTCATTAATTTATTTTTTTTCTTTTTAGTTTGAGATAAACATATTTTAATGAATGAAGGCAAATGCATAATGATGAGGTTAATTTTGATGTTATGGTACCATAGATCATCTTTTGCATTGTAAAGATCATGAAGACACTGGAAAATCTTTTTCTTTCTATTGGTGATTTTTCAGCAAAGTAAAAAAAGCTGCAAGCTTTTATTTAATTTGTCAAGTTTATTTTTTAAAAATCTGTTTCCCTTTAAACAATCAAAGCTATTAACTAAGAAATTTTACGTGACTAGATCCACTTTTACCTGAAGTGTTTCCTCTAATATCAGTGGAGATTTAAGGTCCATAGGTGTCAGTGTCGCCACTAGCTGAGGTATATTTTTGTATACTGTTTCATTTGCGGTATTTTCTATATACTGATTTATACCATGCAATAGATGTTTCAACCGTGTAACAGAATAGCCAAAGTCTAGTGGCAATTTGCTAATCATGAACTAGAATTTGAAAGCACCAACAAGTGTACAGATCCAATCCAGTAAGCAGAGTAAATTCATTGCAGAAATTCACAAGCCTACAGGATTAACCCAAAGAATACTGGGAACAACTTTACATTATTTCTATTTTTTTATACTGAGCCTTTTGCTTAATATACCAGGCCAGCATGGTTCATAGTCTATGGCAGTTCTGCTCTGGTATCCGGGTACACTCTGATCTGATAATCAGGTTTGCAATCCCTTAAGCAATAGATAGGGAATCAAGCAGGAGAGGATCAGAAAAGAGTAGTGATCAGAGAGCCTTGTCCCTACTGTGCATAGACTGCTCTGGGGAGGAGGAAAGGAGCTGACAGCTGTTCTTGCTGTTTGACCAGCAGCAAGAAAACAGATTCATATTTAATGAACCTGCATATTTTATCTATGAAAGGGGACCAAATATTATATAATTATTTTCATGTACAAAACCCAGAAATGCGCCTGAACTGCTGAATTCGGTTCAGATGCAGGTTTCCAGAAAAAACTAAGTATTCTAGAAATAAGACCAAATGTATACTCCATCTCTAATTAGGACTCAACATTGAAGGACTAATTTTACGAAGTATGAGTGTTCTTTTATGACATTACTAAATGCCTCTTCTATCACTGCATAGAATATTATTAATTTCTCAGAATCAGATACTGTGTGAGAAAAGATTAATGTCATTAGTAATAAACCTCAAAACACGAGGATGAAAACTTTTGTACAGCTCCTTTACTACATTCAGCATAGACATAGTAAAAAAAGGTGAATAAATAGTATTGGACCTGCTACTTGTGGTGCAGCATCTTTGTTTATACATTTTAGACCAGCAAATCTATAATAGATTTCTTCAGATTCCAGCACCGTTTTTTTGGTAACAGCCTCTTACAACTTTTCTAACAGCAAAATGTGGTGAGAGCAGAAGTGCTGATTAGTCCTTCATTCCACAACTACTTGCAAAATCAAAGTAGAAGTTAATACATAGTCCCTTTATGCTTTTGAATTCTCTGTTATGGAGAGATTCCAGGGCAAGCACTGACATTGGTATTCTCTCTATTTTTTGCCCAGTGTTACTCACAAGATACTAGTACAGAAGCAGAACAGAAGCTGTTCTTCCACGACTGTGGTATCTGCTGAATCCAATGTAATCCCTTAGAGATTTGGTGACTCAGGAGGAGAATGCCCTGCTTTTTCCATTTGAGCGAACACCATCAGGCTGGCTGCAGAGCTTCCCCAGGGCTATTCCAGATGAAACTGTGGCCAAATCTTTCTTTAAATTTCATGTTGTACTCATTCAAATACCCAATATGGTGGTTTGGGTTTCGGTTTTTCAGAAGCGTAGAATAGTTTGGGTTGGAAAGGACCTTTAAAGCCCTTGTAGTCCAACCTCTCTGCAGTGAGTAGGGACATCTTTAGCTGGGTCAGGTTGCTCAGAGCCCCGTCCAACCTGACATTGAATGTTTCCAGGGATGGAGCTTCTACCACCTCTCTGGGCACCTGTTCCAGTGTTTCACCACCCTCATTGTAAAACATTTCTTCCTTGTATCTATTCTGAGTCATCACAGAAGATTGTAATTTCATATAATCCCTCATTTTCAAAGATTGTCGGCTCTGTTTGGGGTAACGGAAAAGAAGAGACGGGATTGAGACTAGTTCTTGATTTGCTTCTTGAATTCTGAAACCTGACTAATAAAATCATGGAGAAATTTAAAGGACATAAAACTCAAGGAAGATTCAGATTCAATTACCAGTAAATACATTATCACAGACTTGTTAAATCGTATTGGACATGCTTAATTTTATTTGCAGTGACTTCAGGTTAAAATGGCTGCGTGTATGTTCGTTCCACTCTTGAAGCTTCTTAAGCTGCATTCAGCAGTTTATTCCTTTAGCCTAACTCAACATCTTTTGCCTTTGTCAAGGCTAATGATTCTCTCTGTAAACAGTCACATTGTTGCTTACAGGTAAATCACTGGCTTTCTTCTTACTCTAGACATCCTTCATTTATTGGAGATAGCATTCACATCATTTCCTCACCTCTCTTTTCAAGCCTATCATTTTATCCTACATTACTTCTTCAAATGCCTTTATTATCTTTATAGTCTCAAGTTTTTGCATCTCTTCTGTTCTGAATGGCATAGTACTTCAAGTGCATATATAAGGATAGGTAAACTGGGAGTATTCTATTTCTGCTTAAAGACCTAATATGTGTCATAAAATATGGTATGTATACTCTAACCCTTTGTTATGCAATTTTATTCTGTGGACTTTTCTATTTTAAATACGAATGTTGATGGTCATCAGCATCCTTTTGATCCTTTGTAGGCACATTTTGTGCTATCTTTTCCGTAGACTCGGGGCACTAATCCAATATATTGTCTGTGTTTCTTCCAGATGGTTAATGATACATTAAAAAATAGGGTCAAATTCTGACCTCTGGCTTCACAATATCGTTCAGCTGATTATCTTGCTATGGGTAATTGTACATTTATCTGTGACATATCATCTCTTCAGTTTTAAGATAGAATGTCAAAAGGCTTTGCTGCAATCCATAACTTTCATCTGTTAATTCTGTACTTACATAAGAATGATCTGGAAGGATTTGGTATAGGAGCCTCTATGATGTTTTTTTTCTTCTAATTGTAATTTTGGTTTCTGTTTCCTTTTGGATCGAAGCGGGGTGGGGAGAGGGAAACAAGCTAATGTGATATAACCCTTCAAGTTTTCTCCTTTATGGAGCCTGGCTTTGTCTTCAAGGAGGTGATTAGCTTAACCAGGACTTCAGTGTTCGGCCTGGTACTACTGCTAATTTCTCATGTAGACCCCCAGCCATTTTTAATATACTTAATTTCTGTTATTGCAGTTCAAATAACAAGCTTCTTGGTGCTCTCTCAGTACTGATTTATTCCCCATAAGTTTCCTTCAGAAACCAGTAGCCAAGGTATTTTTGATTAATTTTAAAATTTTCTCTTACATTGCTAGATCAAATAATTTCACCTTGGATGTTTCCATCTTGGAACTGCAGTTTAGATGGGCTTGCTGATGCTGATTACTGTGTTGTGTCTGGTGCATCTTCTAGTCTTCATGCTGTTCAGGATTTGCAGTCTGAACACCTCCCAAGCTCTATATTTTCAGTATGTTTTCCTGTGTTACTAAATTCCCAGTCAACCTGCTGCTTAGGCTGTTATTACGTCTTTTGGATTCTGTTGCTGTTTTTTCCCCACAGTTACTCATCTAGCTCATCTCGGCCAGACTACTACATGTATTAATTGACTTCTCTGGAGGTGTAAGTAAGGTGAAAATGCTTTTCAGCATCAATGATACCTGTGTATTTGTTGTTCTGG